TTACTTCGTTAGAAGGAAATCTACGCGGTCAGTTTATAAAACATAGACTTTCAAGTTCCAGTGACGTTTCCTTCGCTGGCAAGGAAGAAGCGAATTAAAGAAAAATATTAGGTCAAAGTTTTACTCATTGACTTGCACAATTTTTTAATTAATGCTCCGAGCTGTGACAGCTTTTTGTTATTACTTTCTTCGAATATAGTATTCACACGTTTAAATAATCGCAAAACTCAAATAATAATTAACGTGCCTTACTTACCAAACAAAGTTTTACATACGTTAAAAAGACAAGGTAATTGAATTACTTTATAGTCGTACAAGATGTCTCAGGTCGGGTGATACAACTGGGCAGAAGGTGATTTTATAAGAAAAAACAAGTTGAAATGGAAAAATACTTCTTTTCATACCAGGTTTCGTTCTCGAGAAAAACCACTCCGAAGTTTCATCGATTTATGTGTATTCGTAGTGCCGATAAGTAGAAACGGAATGTAATGATCAGACGCGCTAGCCAAGTCCTATTCAATTGCACGCGTAACCAGCAGATTTTCGAATTCAATTATCTCGGAAGCAAAGCATCATAGGAAATAATTTTATTTCACATTTTCGGTTTGCTTTTGCATGTAAAATAATCCCTTGCCCGGTTGTACTTCTCGAACTGAGACACAAAAGTCCAGACTTTTGTTTTTATTTTATAGGTTTCTAAAACATTTGAAAAAATTCAGTTGTACTTCCCAGGGTCTGTGCTATAATAGTCTTTAAAATTGAAAGGCCCATATAAGGCCCATGAAAAATAAAGAACTTGTCAAATGGCAACGAATGAGAAATGGCATCAGACGGTTTAAAAAAGTTAAAATGTTTTAGTGAATCATTTACAAGTCGTCGAATGTACACAAAAATGCAACAGAACATTTCTAAAGTAATTTTTAAATAATTCGAGAATGAAAGGGTTAATTCCACATTAAGTATTGTAGAATAAATTCGGCCATCTTGGAGACGTGGATTAACTCGTTATCAACGAATGAATCTTACCTACATAGAAAGATAATTTAACAGACTCCTTAAATTCCAATGCCCAAAATATTGAAATTACGCGAACTTGCGTCCAAGCTCGCATCAAACGACATACAAATCGCAGTTACATTCGATCTCTCTAGATGGAATTTCACACGTTCACCATTCTCGCCTCCCGATAAGGATAAATGTTCGCCGGTGCGCAGCCCCGACAAGGAAATTACGATCGTAACACACCGACAGCTGCTCGATCATTCCCGATCGCTTAGAAACTCAGCGCGCGGCCAATATTCGTTCTTTCGTTGATTATCGGCTACCCTCGATTACCGTGCACGCGAGCGCGGAAAGATAGAAGCTGGGATCGAACCGGAAAGGATGAGGGATCGTCGCGGGCTATTCTTCCGGGGCTGAAACTTTTCTCGGGTCATTTTTCACGGAGTTCGAGGGAAGTCGGTCTTGGTCGTGTATCCCGCGGAATTAAAGGAGAAGGAAATAAAACCGACAATAGAGAGGGACAGGTGTACATGACTACCGCGGCGTCCAGGTTGCCGCTGTCGTAAACGAAAATAAAGAGACGTCATGGACGATTCTCGGGGTTGGTCTGGTTCCTTGGGTTGCGACCGCGAACGGTAGGGAAGGAACGCGAGACAAACGAAATGAATGGGACGAGGAGATGAGGGATAGCACACATACACGTAGAGAAAAAGGGGGAGAAGAAGGGAGAAAGAGGGACAAAGAGGGACAAAGAGGGAGAAAGACTATGAAGATGGGTGAAGGAGGGAGAAGGAGGGAGAAGGAGAGGCGACTGTCAACGAAAGCGGGTAGCCGAGGGAAATTCAAAAACACAGATAGGGAGAGAGATGGAGATTTCTCTATTGTTTATTTAAGCGAGCGCCCCCAACCGCGAACGTGCCACTGTGAGATTACAGTGACGAGCAATTATATCGTCACCGCGAAACGAATCATTTGCAAACCGAAGTCTATTCCGGGTAACCGGTGTTCTCTGGCCTCGATGTGTTTCGGTATGTACGGTCTTGAATAATTGCTCGGACTGGTTACTCCAAACACAGGGCTGTATATGTGTGTACACCTGGCGAAAGAAGAGGAACGACAGGGACGGTTGGGGCGTGTCTTGCGGGTGAATGTGAATAAACACGCGGATGATATTGTGTACATAAATTTGTAATGGACTGACATAGTGGAATATTGAAACGACGGTCAATATTTGGTTTTCACTGACAAAAATTGTTGAAATTGAAAATTTACGGGATGATTTGTTTTTGTTCGTGATGTGTAATTCATTGATTTATCGAGGGCTTAGAGACTAGTTTTATTGCCTCGTCCACGTTTTAATCTTCATTATAGCCTAACTTTACGTTTCGATCTCGTGACATGTGTTTTTAACAAGACGTCTAACAAACACGCTCTGATTATTACATTGTACACAAACATCCCCCTCGCGTCAAATTAAACCAAAGACAATAGGCCCGTCAGTTAAATTCACGCCAGAGCCATTCTCCACATATCCAAAAGCTGAAGTCCCGATCGTAAACTCTCACCACACCTTCGGAACATTTAACTAGGTATATTCAATCGTACAAAACCCTTCACAAAAATCTTGTACGCCCGGCAGTACGTATGAAATACATATCGTTCGTGTCCCCTTTATCACGCTCGAGAGATCTGCATTCTCATTTCACGCTTACAATCCGTAAGTCCCCCTTCAACCCCCCCCCCCCCCCCCATAAGGAACGCATCCACTTCGCGCCTCCTTCCCCCCCCTTCCTAGTATCATAGGACCTTTCCGAAACTTTCGAAGACACAATCCCTTTTCCTGCACTCGAAGATTTACACGTTGTGCACACGGCCGAATTGCGCACAGAGGCACACGACGGAAGTGTGCACGAACGTGCATCGTCCATAGGCCAAATGTATGGCAGTTGGATGAAGTGGATGGTCGGGATAGAAGAGGAAATCAGGCGGGAAACGCTGGGAGTGGGGGAGAAGCTAGTGCTCGTTGAACGGAACGGCCGTTGGATGAGTGGGGGTGAAGGGGAGTGTCGGTGGGAATAGCGGGACGCTTTTAAACGGCGTCGAGTGTATTACGACTTTTAATTACGAAGTGTTTCCTTTTTATGTAACGGGCACGGTTGGTAACGTCGAGCACATTGTCGCGGCACTCGGACAATGAGTCTCATTGAAAGACACACCGGCAGCAGCACTGCGCTCGCGACGACTGTGTAGGAGGGGAAAGATGGCGGCGCATTCGGTCGGATCACGCGGGAAGGAAATGTTCCAGAAGGGATAACGAAAAGAAAGGTGGACGGCGAAGGGGGTGGCGGGGGAGGAGCTCGCGTATAAGAGACGTTTGTAAATGCTGCGGCCGCGTGCGGATTTGTTTCGGTGAAATTTCTTTTTAGAGGCGACGAGACACAGGGGTTGGGAGGTGGGTGTACAGTTTTAACGGAATACCTTGCCCGTCCTTAGACGGGCGACAATGCGTGGTGGGTTATATCCAAAGTAATATCGCGCTGGGTAGTATAATCGAAAGTGGTGGGGATTGAATAAAACGTCGGAAGAGAGAGAACGTCGGTCGTGGTCTCTATGATGCTCGGGTTACGTGTTGTGCGGTATCTGGGTCGGACGGATTGTTATGCCTTTTGATCCAGTAGTAGACAATTGAAACTGCTCTGGGAGTCCTTGTTGAGTCGATTGCTGACCCGGAGGAACGGTCTCGAGCTCCTCCACGCGCTGGCTCGCGGATTTTTTTCTTCGTTGGAACACGGATCTCGTTCTGGGGAATTCAATTGTTGGCGAACAACGAAATGTATACCTGTTTTGATTCGTTCCCCAGGGGGGGGGGGCGGCAGGTGAACCACACCGAGGGAGTGAGTTGTAATGTTCTGATGTTTGTAGAACACGATTGTTCGTTTGGCTGTTGGATCTCGTAATGGGCGTGCAATTCACGTTGCTGTAAATTTTCAATCAATTCGCGCCGCTGTTCTGTTCGGATGGTGTTTGGATTATTATTGGAAGTTATGCAGTCGTTACTTCGATATGAAATTCTGCGGTATAAAATAGCGTAAATATGTTTCACGAGGCATTTGTGATTTGGAAACGTGGAATTATTTATTGTTGGTTTATGTTATTCTGTAGTTTAGAACGTCTCTATTAGCCTCTCGTTTTTCTGATGTTTTTTAACAATCACTTTGTATAACATTGAAATAAACGATGAATTTATGATAAGTTTTGGTGTTTAAACAAGTAACGTTTGGGTTAGTGTTCGATCTGTTTTCGTCTTTGGAATTTAATGTACCGAAGTATTCCTTTTGTGCCATAAAGGAAGATATTTCGCGTCGTATAGACACAGTCTTGAGGAAATTCAAATTCTTGTGAATTATAATGCACCGTCGATAACAGACGGGAAACTCAATTTTACGAGTTCCAGAGCGAGCGCACTTTACTTACCTACGTTCACAGAATTCGTTACTATTTTGGAAGTACCATGCATTTTTCATTATATGTATTTCACATTATATTTCAATCTTACAAATATATTATGAACGTTTATGCAAATGCACATTTTTATACACTTTAAAGAAGCTCGAATTATTTATAATAATTGTTCGTGACTTTTCGAAGCAGACGAAATGAAAAGTAATATAACGTAATATTGTTTATCTTTAGTGTTACTGTTATCACTTAACACTTTGACTGCCTCGTTACCCAAATATGAAATTAATATTGCAGTATAATTAGAAAGAAAATCAGCAGTTCCTATTAATTAAACGCATAGATATTTGACGATTTATGACTTAAAACACGAAATACAGTATGTCTGACTACGCACGGAATTTTTCACTACGACAGTCAACATGTTAAGGGTTCAATAAAGTTAACCATAAAATATGAATCGCATAAAATTTAAAGAAATTATTATTCTGACTTAATAAATCGAAATGTACATAGAAGTGTTATATTTATATTTCTAGGTGGCGTGGTTACGCGTGGATACACAGACGATCCTCACGATCGCCACTCACGTGATCACGAAGAATGATCGAATCGCCGTGACACATAGCGGTCATCGTACATGGTCCCTTCACATCAAAGACACCAAAGAGTCAGACGGGGGATGGTACATGTGCCAAGTGAACACCGACCCAATGTCCAGCAACACTGGCTACCTCGAAGTAGTTGGTAATGTCTCATTCGAATATTTATAATAACTATGAATATTATATAACACAATAATTTTTTCATAGGAATTCTGCCGTAGTAAAATCCTATAATATAAAATCGTTTGAAACTACAGGGAAACAAATTTGAAAAAAAAAAAAAAAAAAGAATTCTCTCGAGAGAAGCGCCTGATGGTCGAGTGATAACGGGAACGGAAAAAGCGGCGTCCTTTTATGTTGTTAAATTTATACCATCTCACAATGACACTGAAAAACTGCAATCTCGATGATATATTGGGCGACCAGCTAAAGAGTGCTCAAGATATTAAATGTTAAAGTTTTGACCTGAATCAGTATAGCCGCCTGATGGGAGAAAGGGCTGAAACACACTTTTCCCAAGTCAGACTTTCTTTTTAAACTTCTCGCGTTATATTTGTACAGCTCGGCGAGTTTGAAAAGACCGCTAAGATAGTGGTTACAGCGTCGTGGGGGAGAAAGCTGAGCTCGACAGCCGTAACTTTAAATTCTTCCGTTTTTAATTTCTCTCCTCTTTTTACCGTGTCACATAGTAACGATGTAATATTGATTTTTATGCCACAGTTGACCTTTCAGCATCCTCGTTGATAGTTTAAAATTTCATAATTAAGAATACACGATAAGAATACATGAGAAAAAATCGGGAAAGCTTTAGGTATAGTTTTTCAATTAACCAGTCAATGTAAATCTCTATTACAAATAGAATGTTTAAATATTCCGCGAGTTTTCTTTTCGAGACTATTTAACGCAACATTAAGAAATCGTGCAAGAAACAGCTGGAAAGTGTTAAAGTTGTTAAGTATCGGCCTTTAGGTCGCAAACCATTTGAAAAAGTAGGGCTACGCCCATTAGTATACAGCAACAAGTGATTCCTAGCGTCAGTCTGCATATTGCGCGCACAGGAGTACTTCCATTATCAGAGATGTTAGCGTGACAGATGATTAATTACCCATTTCTTATTCATGACCGTATTAGATTGAGGTCGCTCTTCATTCAATCACAGATTTTCTCGAGCCACTTTGCATACGAAGCTTCGCTTCAAACAAAGCTACCGATTTCAATTTGATAAAAACGGACGACACGTCGTTTCTGCATGAAAGATTCATTAGATATCATTTATTCAGTCGGCAGCATCAACATCTATGAAGTTGTAGCTTTTCAAAGAGAGTGCTAATAGTAGTGGTGTGTTATTACCGAAATGAAGATTTCTCTGAGACATAAAAATTTTGTATATTCTAGGTTTCTGTGACTTTAGAACTGTACAGAGTGGTTTTAATTTGATGTTAAAAAGTTTATACGCGTGTACCTCTTGAAATTTCAAAAAAAGATCTGGTGAAAATTAATCGTATGAATACTTATATTTGAAATGTATTCGTTTTCCCTTAGGGCACTACACAGTTGTGGTTCATATTTCACATTTAATGTAGGAAGTAGGGCAAATATAACCTGCAAGCAGTAGTAGTTGCACAACAGTGCAAAATATTCGAAATCGTATTAAAGTGGAAAAAAGGTTGTAATATTGCAATAGGTCAACAAGACACTGTTCCACTGTTTGAACAAAACCCCGATGCATTATATCCAAACGTGTATGTATAGTTACAAGTGACGGCCATATTGATAATTCGCTGCGAAGAAAACATATTGTGTTCGAAAAACCGATAGTATTGAACTCTCTTTGGAATTTCTTATAAATTTTGACTCGTAGAATATGAACAAATCGTATTTTAAAATTACCTTGAATGAATTTCCCGAAGAAAAAAACAGAAAACTCGATTCTTCAAGTTATTCGCAAGGATAGGAAATTATGTTCAATACTTCGCACCTTTTATTTCACAAAAATTGCATTACATTTTCTGTTTGAAAACTACAGACACATGTACGTGACAGCAATCCCTATTGAATTTATTTTTCACTATTATATTCTCCTCTTCAATAATAACATTTCCATAGATTGTCGAGACAAATCGATTATTGTATTGGAAACTATGATTCCATTTAAAAAAAAACACACATTTCACCTTCAAATGATCATCTACAAACAAAAACTAATTACACCAAATTATGTCTCATCTAAACCATTTTTTCATACAATGGATAGCTCTCGTAATTTGCATATTTTTTTAACCAGACACCCTGTATATTCGGTGTCCAATAACAAACCTCCCGTAACTATAAAAGAATTCTCCACGAATTGAAGTCTCGACGTAGCACGAATCGTGGCATCCCTGGCCGCTCGGTCATCATTCGAGGAGACGACGACGGTGAATTCCGGAGGGAGCGGAACGGAACGGTGTGTCCACAGCGGCGACTATTTGCCAGTAAATCGCGCGTCTCGAATTGCGAAGTGAGTTTGCATCGCCCGCGTGCGACTCTTTCGCGAAACTCCGAGAGGATCCCTGGACCGGTATTACCCACCCGGTGAAACTCCGCTTAAGAACAGGCAGATTCAGCGTTTTCCCGTGTGTACGTACCGTACGCTTCTGCCCGCGGAACACGTTCTCTCTTGGCGAACTATGGGAAAAAGGGGTAGGGGGCGGTGGATCCTTCTTCCGCGGCCCATGCATCAACCCATCCTTCCACGGAACTTTCTTGGCACTTGGTACCGGCGTTCCTGTTACCGCCAACTTGTCAAACTTCACCAACTACGGTTGCCGTCGCGCCCGAGCATCCAGCGCGTGGACTGTCGCTGGAGAGAGAGACCGTGATTGCGACACCGATATTTAATCCTTGACTATTTCCCAGGTAGTTTCACGGGGCGGTATCGTTGCCCCTCACATGTCGTCTGGAACTGTTCACCCGACCTGTACGGATATTAAAGATGCTCGTTTAGCACCGTCCGGACGGTTTGTTAAGCTCACCCCCTGGGCTCGTGTCCAAGGCTTGTTAAGCCACTCTCTCGTCGTGGATTAGGGTGATCATCGGTGTCGCGGACCACTAATTGCAACCGTCGACCTGAAACAGTTACAGCCTCCTGGTTTACATTTCAGACGAAATTCTCGGACAGTAATCGTAGAGGTGAACCGATCGATACGTTAGACGTCGATCGACGTCTAAAGCTAGGACGGGGAAAGGTCTTTTTTTACCGATATGGTACTTTTGTCGAATCGGTAACAGTCGAAAGCAGTATGCAGACGTAAAGTTGGCTCCCCATTATGGCGATCGGCAATATCGAACATATGGGGATATGTCATCGGTATGTGCCAACAGGTCGCAGGGCATAGTGGAAACACAAAATAGGCCGATCGGTTTTGTCGATCGGTTTTGCTGGTCAGCGTAATGGGGACGCAGCTTAACAATAAAGGAAGTACTCATCGCGTCAGAGTTGGATTTTTGATGAAGATTCAAAGTCGTATGAACGCTGCTTTATTTTGTCGATTCGGTACCTCTTGCCGAATTAGTAATTCTTCATCCCTTACAGCGCAAAATCAGACCACATGCATCTGTAATGATTATTTCGTTCAATCTCACGGCACCGTGTAGACAAAAGGGACAGGGGATCCGCAGGAAACGTTTCAACTCCGAAATCAGTGTAATCATGGCCGGTGAAAGAGTCCCATCCGCAGAGATAGAGACACTTAGACTCTGTGCGGCTCTTTCTGGGTGGTCTCGGATTTGTGGCGGTTGGATGCAAATATATGTAAAGTGTACACCACGTACGAAAACCATAGAGTGGGCGATTGTACTCTTGGCGGGGCTATTAAACACCTTCCTGGCGACTCGCGGCTCCTCGCCCTAATAACCGGCCCTCGGCTACTACGGCCACCCGAGGAGCCCATTTGCCAGTCGCTGACCACGGCAGAACGCGTGCTGGGAACGTATGGTTTAGCCTGGTCGTAACCCTTCGTTAAATTTCTTCTTTATCGGTCGGAACGATCACTGGCCGTGCTGTCGAGGCGTGAGAATGGAAGGGTTGAGGGGTGGTCTACGTTACCGCTCGAATTGGTCTGTCCTTGTTCGTCGTTTATCGACGAATCACGTGTCGGTTTTTCTTCCTAATTTCTCACAAATTTTCCTCCTTTATCGTTTTTCTTTTTCGTCCCCTGGCAATCCAGCCGTGGTATTTCGCGTCCACTGCTTGTATAATTCGATGATTCGGAGCAGCCGAACTCCCTGCACAGAGGAAGCACGATGAATTGGTAAACGTGTGACAAGGTTATGTTTGCGCGAGCCTTGCACGAGTGTTGTTCTTGCCTTTGCAGCGCGGTCCGTCCCACGTAAATAAGTTAGCTTGTTGTTTCTACGGTTAATTAAATATCTTCCGTGGGAATGTGCAACGGGGACAAAACACGGCGATTAACTCTCGAATGAAATTCCGGACATTCCATTAGCCAATGGACAAACTGCAGCTTTTGGCCCTTAAGCGTGTCGCGAAGCATAACTTCCCGGGGCACGACATCCGCGCGTATAAACGTAAAGCTTAAGCTTATCGCAAATAACCCTCGTTAAATTCCTTGTTTATCGCGGTACTGTGCCCCCTATCCAACCCCCCCCCTTCACCTTGCGATTTCTACCTGCCACCAGTACACTGTGAAATAGCCCGTTTTCACTTTCTGCGATTCGATTGGTTAATCGTCTGCGTGGATAAAGGTGAATTTTACGATTGAGCGTGAGAGGTCGCGCAGTCTGTTCCAGGCATTGTGCTGGTCAACCTCGAACTATAATAGTTCGCATAATAGGCGAGTGTTACGGTTAGATACCGAGTCTTAGGAAAATTACTCTGAAGTCTTTCGGGTGATTGTGAAATGTAATATACGTAATAGAGGCCAGTTACTCTTTACTCGTCGTTTCCTGGTAGCTCTTAATTAACGGATTGTTAATTACACTAGCTTCCTGTAGTGAGAAGCCTACAACTGGTTTTAATTAATCATGCTCCGAGAGAGGATTGAACGTGAGTACGCTGCGACTTGAAAAGTTTCGGATCGTTTATAATATTCGTGAATTTTCGAAGCAGGCGAAGTGATAAGTAATGTAACGTGATATTGTTTG